TACAATCTGCGAGTGGAGCCGGTTTCCTCAAGGGTATAAGGTAACCCTTGGTGATTGAGGAAACATTTCGGTAGGGTGTTGAAACACGCTTGCTGCGCCATTCTCCCTAACACGGAGGTACGTGCGCCTTTTTATCTGTCAGTAAAGTTCCCCATCAGGTGAGCCCTGCAGATTCCTCCGTGGCCCCCAGCACTGACTCAGCGGAGGAGTCACTTGCTGGCCCACTACGTTGTAGGTCTGCCCGCTGGTCAGCCCGCGTTTTGGGTAAAGGTGCCTGCTATGCGTGATCCCCACTAGGCGATCCCATATGCTTATTCCGCCACGGTTAAGTCCCCCAACCCCCCACCCCCCCTTTCCCCACCCCGCCAACCCCCCGGGCGGACCCGTGTCTTCCCTCTCCGCTAACCACTCTTTTGCTATGTGTACTCCCTCTTTTTAGGGCTAGTCGATATGTAAATTCTGCCATCTATCCCCCCTTGGGTAACGGATGGCCTCCGCAGCGTCCTCCCTATCGGGATTGCACGCTTCCCAACGTACTGTCGTATTTTCCTAGAATTATCTAGATGCTCACGACTTCCCAAAAAATATATCTAAATCTGTAAGACTTCTGTTGAAGTACGATAAATTAGGGCCAGGGACACGTTGGAGGACACGTTGGATAGTCACGCTTGCTTGACTATCCCCTCATTGGGGGCGTTGGTAAGGTGCAGTCATTATGGCGCTTTCCATACCTCTCCCATTTCATGGATTTCAATCGATCCACTCTATGGCACTGAAGTTCCCCAACCGAAGGGGAACGTTCGAGGTTACAGAAGTAACCCTTCGTTCCCCGAGGAGGGGAACGGAAGTGCCATACTCGGTCGACATAATGAATGTCCCTTAGCTGTTTGAAAGTCTCTTCAGCTTAAAAGGATGGCATTTGCTCGCTCCAGGTGTGCTTATATGCTGGGATAATTGGCAATGAAGTACACCTGTGCAAGCTTACGCTGCCAATTCATTGCATTCATTGGCCCGTTCAATACTCTTTCAGACAAGCGGCTTCTGAACTGAATCCTCCCATTTCGTGGATTTCAATCAACCCACTCTATGGCACTTTACTTTTGTAACCTCAAACGTTATTTTCAGATGCATGTGTAGTAAATACATTAGTTTACCAGGGGCCTGTTTCAGAAATGGAGGTTAAGTGAAAACTCAGAGTATTTTAACCCTGAAATGAGAGAAACTCTGGGTTTTCTGTTTCAAAATGGCAGGTTTGTTAAACTCAAGAAATCAGGGTAAGTCAAGCCTGTTTCTGAAAGAAAGGTAACTTTAACTCAGAGTCAGTTACTGTGGTAACTTACTTTGTGAATCTAACCTGGTCCGGAGCAGGTTTTATTCTCTAAACTCTGAGTTTCTGTCGGTCTCCTCCCCCTTTTTAAAGATGAAGCTTATTTCTCGCATTAGCTTTACGTTTCCACACACCTATTTTAGAGCTCATTTTGGAGATGCCCATGAAAACGATTGATGGAAACGTCATGATTCACATATCTTTTGAAAATACACATAATAAAATATGCGCATAACTGAGTATGTTAAACTTTTATTTGATAAGATGCACATAAACTACGAAGTGCACTTAACAAATTACAGTATGTAGGCCTACATTTAAAAAAGGTTTGTTAGAGATGATGATGAAAATGTGTGTGAATGGACAAACCAGCAGACTGAGCACACTGCAGAACATCTTAAATGTTGTTTTAGTTATTCTAAAATGCCTTAACTGTTTCAGTATTAGTGTATATTATTAACTACCTCCAAGCGTTAGGAGCGTGTTAAGAGTCTCCGCGTCTGGCTTCAAACGCCCCCACGTGTTCGTTGTGTGTCAATTGTCTTCTGAGGCGCAAGTAGGCTAAATTAATTAAATAAAAAAATCATTGACGCAGCCTTTTCTACCACAGTTAATCAGGAAGTGACGATTGTGTTCTCTTCGACTCTTTGGATAAAAACGCTGCTTTATTTTTAAGCGTTATTCCAGTTTTGCACAAATTTATGTAATAGCCTGTATTTTGATGGAAACACAGCTATTGCCTACATTTTTGTCACACACAGAACAAAGTCACGTATGAGGCTTGTCCTTTTTTCATAAATAATTACCTTAACCTTCGACATGCACTGTTACTAAATTAATGGGATTATTATTCTGTCTAAAAATTATTTTATTACTGCTTACCTTCTTAATGTTATATCAACCTCTATCACTTGATCAATAAAAAGGCAGACACACAAGTGCACTGTTAAATCTATCAAAACTGATCAACGTGTATAAAAGTTTAGAAAAAAAGTATAAACGTCACACATTACATTACTTATTTTATTATACTTAAATGTTTAAATACTTAAAATTAAAAATTACGCATTAACTTGAGCAGCTGTTTTCTCACGCTAACTGTCTTTGTTTCACTGATGGTTGCTTCTTTTTAAATATATACACTCATATTTGCTATAACTTTGCATGAGCAAATCAAGTTCAGCTGGAGAAAGAAATGCTGATCTCTTTTTTTAAGATGTTGCCATAGTCACTCGTAATATCTGCGCTCCATTGATAATGCCTTTTTATAGTCACGGTGTGCGCGCTTAACTCACGAGTTGGTCTACTCAAAGTTGATTGACCCAGCTCAGATCAGCTGTTCTGAAAACGAAAACTCTGAGTTTTTAATCTCTCGGTAAATCAACTCAGAGTTCAAGTTTAAACTCCGAGTTGTTTAAACCTCCTTACTGAAACAGGTCCCTTACAGTAAACTCCTGAAAACATGCTTATAGTGTGTCTACATTAAGGGTGTCACGATCCTCCAAATCCTCGATTCGATTACATTTTCGATTCTAAAGGCACGATTCGATTCGATTTTCGATTATGAATAATTAATTTAATAATGACCAATTAATTATTTGTAGCCTACCGTTTAAACTACCTGACCTGCATGGTCTTTGTTTTACCCATAAACAAATCATACAGTAAATGAATAAAGGCAAGATACACACATAATTACCACCTGTCAATCACTTTTTTTCTGCGGGACTCATGAATAGGCGGTGATCTGTCTCGTTATAATGGCGTCTGCTTTCTCGAGCGCATGGCTGTGTATGCGTCTGTGTGGTCACGTGATGTGCATTTTCAGAGGTAGAGCGGAAGGAGGGCTGCTCAGAAATGCTACACGCCACTGTGGATGTCAAATCGTTGTCGTTCTAAAATGCCATTTAAAAACAAAGACAGTGTAAACAGGGCCTGAGTGTGTACTTTTCGCGAGCAGATTTGCAACGGGGGCGGGCGGAGGATCGCGATGCCGGTGTTGTCTATCGGACGAACCGTACGTAAAACGTACATAGCAGAGATTGCAAAACTGTGTTTTTTTTGTCGACAACACAAACGTTGTCAACATAACTCACTGGAAATCCAAAATGGTTACACACCGGCGACTTCATTGAAAGAGGAGAGGATTTAAGCTCTGTCGACGGGTCTCCTGCTTCTGCAGTTTAACAAGCACTTCAACAAGCCGGTTTTTTTCCCGCTTGGCAAGCCAAGCTGACGTGACATGGGGGGCGTGGCAGCATCGACGATTCTAGTTTTTGATTCGATAATCGAAATTGAGAATAAATTTCGATTGATTTCGATTAAAAATCGAAATCGTGACACCCCTAGTCTTCATATTATTGTAGTGGTTTAGATAATAATAAGAGTGTCATGAGACTTCCAGGCTGCATTTCCACTGCAGATCTTGATGGTCAATTCTGATTTTGTGACTGTATCTGATTTTTTTGCTGACCTGCTTACATCATCTTTTAAAAGTGACTCACATCCGATCGTCTGCATTTACACAGCACACGGCAAAGGCGCAATGACCAGGAAAAAAAAAGAGTGCTCTTTTCTCTATTCCTGTATGTAATCTGTTCACAGCTTTTTACAATAATTTATGACAAAAAGCTTGTCATTTGTCCATCTTCTTTTGATATATCGGCTTTTTTAACCCTTTAGGCATCTTAATGTAATGTCCATGGCGTAATTTATGTATGTACAAGTTTTATATTAGTTTATATTGATTGCATGGCAGACATTGTGCTTTCTCACTCTCGTTAACATGCTTAAATACCTGTGCTATATGACAATATAAAAGCTGTTTTAGTCCTCGTGTATGAGATGTAAGGTTTGGGACTCTGCTGAAGTCTGTTCTGAAATGAAAGCGTCAGACTTGTCATCATTCGCTATGGTTTTTCATGACGCGCGACTCGCATTGACAGGTGAGAATTTAATCTACCTGCTTACACTGCAGACACAAGAACACAGATCCGATTCATATCGGATAAATTTCCACATATGAACAAGACCTGAATCTGATTTGAGAAAATCGGAATCCATGTGATTTGTTCCTGCTTACACATACATGGGCCATATCCCATTTGTGCCACATGACCGGAGAAAAAAAATCGGAATTGAGTCACTTTAACCATGCAGTGTAAATGCGACCTAATATGTTTAGAAGAATCTGCAAACTGAACAAACAGCAGAGCATGCCTAAACTTCACCAGGACACAACATATATAAATATAAAAATATAAAATATGAATAAATAATTTAGAGGTAATTATTTAAAAATATCCTTAAAATAAACTGATTTCTTTAACTTCAAGTCATATTTGAGTATATTGGAAAAAGAGAAGCTCTGAAAATACAACATTTTAGTGGAGAATCATTTACCTCAGTGTGTCCAGTTTACAGTTTCTCTTCAGTCCATCAGAGAGAAGCTTCACTCCTGAATCCTGCAGGTCATTGTTACTCAGGTCCAGCTCTCTCAGCACACAGTTTGAGGATTGTAGAGCTGAAGACAAACTCTCACAGCACTGAACAGTGAGATTACACATGACCAATCTGAGAAAGAAGAACACAGATTACATTAACAGCGGGATTTCAGTCATTCATCTGATGTAAAATCAAAATCAATCAATCAATCAGTTGTTTGAACTCAGACCTCAGTGTCTCCAGTTTACAGTTTGGGCTCTTCAGTCCATCAGAGAGCTTCTTCACTCCTGAATCCTGCAGGTCATTGTTACTCAGGTCCAGCTCTCTCAGGACATAGTTTGAGGATTGTAGAGCTGAAGACAAACTCTCACAGCACTGAACAGTGAGATTACACATGACCAATCTGAGAAAAAAAAATAATAATAAAAATTACAGTGTAATTTTTAGTAATTTATTTAATGCAATACATAATTATAATTAATCCATCCATCAATCAATCAGGTGTTTAAACTCAGACCTCAGTGTCTCCAGTTTACAGTGTTGACTCTTCAGTCCATCAGAGAGCTTCTTCACTCCTGAATCCTGCAGGTCATTGTTACTCAGGTCCAGCTCTCTCAGCACACAGTTTGAGGATTGTAGAGCTGAAGACAAACTCTCACAGGACTGAACAGTGGGTTTACACCACTGTAGTCTGTGTAGAGGACAGTAAAAGACACTGTATTATTGTGTGTGAGTGTGATGTAATTATTGAAGTTCCCGTGAGGAGTGATTTAATTGATTTAATTTGTATTTCATTATTACATAAACTTTTTAAAGAGAAGATCTCTAGACCAAAATGAGTCGCCCAGACAGATTTATTAGCTATTTCTGAGCAGAATTTTGTTAAAAAAAAAAAAAAAAAAACTGTGCAAATTTATGCAGAATGACTAAAAAGAGTAACAATTATAACAAAAAACTTATTATATAAAATAAAATAAAAAAACCTTTTAACTGTTATTTAATGTTTACAATGCAAATCCATTCAGATCCTCATATTTGTTAAACAAAGCAAGTCTCTCATATAATATTGACTAGGGTTGTAACGGTATGAATTTTTCACGGTATGATAATCGTCTAAAACAATACCACGGTTTGACGGTTTCGCTGTATACGGTATGTTACAAATGTTACAAAATAATAGAACAGTGAAGCAAATTTGACTTTTCCCAAATAATATATTTTCAGTTACTATAAACAACACCACTTACAATGAACAAATAAAAATAAGAAAATAATAAATAATGTGTCAAAGTCCAAATAAAGTCCAAATAAACATGGTGCAAATCCTCAGTAAAAAATAGATATAAATATTTACTATACTATAAATAGTTACATAACGAAACTAGATTCAATATGGAACATCCTTAGGTTTTATGTGCCAGCATGGATATGGTTGTCTATGGATATGGATATGGTTGTCTGCAATGCAGATAAACAGCTGCATCTTCATTTGCGTCTTTTGAAAACAGCAAGAGCAGCAGTTCGTCTTTGCTGTGTCACTGTTTTGTCATCTTTCTGTGCTGCTGTGCATGCAAAAGTACTTAGTATGAGAATTATTTCATGCAAAACTTTTTTTTTTGCGTTTTATTTAGCCGCGCATAAATGTATGCCTATCTCTCATTCCGTGTTGTTCAAAAAGCTTGGTCCACAAACAAAAGCGAAACCTATGCTTATTGGTTGTGATATAGCGAGTTTGAACCAATCTGGGCATGGAGGAGGGACAATGCATCAATGTATCATGTCTGATTTGTCCGGAGACACAGTGACGAGCGTTTCTTTGTCAAATCAGCGTTGTCAAATGTTGATGACGTAACCGCACTGATTCCGGAGCCTCTGAAAGTCCGCGAATGTTATGTGATACAGCACTGGAAAGCTGAGATCTTCTCTTCTTTATGCCAATCTTTGAATTGTATGAATCGGATCAGCGGATCAAAAGTTATTAAACATTTAAGAGCAATACTTATTTTTAGCCGCGGGCGGCTGTCTCTGTCTTTAAGGGTTAAAACCGTTGATATGCAATTGTTCATGGTATGATAATCGTGCACGTTCAAATCGTGGTAAACCGTCATACCGGTATATTGTTACAACCCTAATATTGACAGACAGAAAATACGACTTTACAAACTGTATTGTAAATAAATCACATCAACATCTTCATATTAGTCAATAATATTCCTGAAATGAATATAAAACTGACTGAATATAACTTTACACACATTAACATCAGTAAATAAAGAGACTCAGTGATTGGCTGAACATCTGCAGATACAGCTCATTTAGAGACGCCCCAAAAACACCAAAGAACACCAATCAATGATCATTTCAGCAGAAATTACACTAAAGAGCAATATTATACCTGATATAAACAGGGATTCCTCATCAACAAGAATAAAATACATTACAGCATATGCTCATTACCTCATCAGACTTTACAGCATTTCACAATGTAAAAGTCATTTGTGGCGGCATTTATTTGATGGAAATGTTTTTATTTTACCTCAGTGTCTCCAGTTTACAGTGTTGACTCTTCAGTCCATCAGAGAGAAGCTTCACTCCTGAATCCTGCAGGTCATTGTTACTCAGGTCCAGCTCTCTCAGCACACAGTTTGAGGATTGTAGAGCTGAAGACAAACTCTCACAGCACTGAACAGTGAGATTACAGCCCTGTAGCCTGTGTAGAGGACAAAGAGCAACAAAATCAGCAGTAAGAAATGAGCAGTGTTGAGTGTTCATGAGTCCAGTCTACAGAGATAAAAGTAACACTGAAAATAAACTATATATATATATATATATATATATATATATATATATATATACTGCTCAAACAATAAAGGGAACACTAAAATAACACATCCTAGATCTGAATGAATGAAATATTCTTATTAAATACTTTGTTCTTTACACAGTTGAATGTGCTGAAAACAAAGTCACACAGACATGATCACTGGAAATCAAATGTATTAACCCATGGAGGACTGGATTTGGAGTCACACTCAAAACTGTAGAGAATTGCAAGAATTACTGACACACTCCAGACACATGAGCATTTTCAGAACAAGATTATTGTTTCATCTAAAATATACTATTTATTTATTGATTGATTGATTGATTGATTGATTGAATATACATTAAACTAAACTAAAGCTGTATTTCCCCATTCATATGACTGTAATGAACTATTGAACAGATTATTAATAACTAATCAGAGAGCATTTTACTGAGCTCAGTGTAAAGTTTAGTGTTTAGGCCTTCAGTAAATGTAATATTAGAGGCATGTCTGCGGCGAGACGGCAATACTGTGTCTAAAATTACACTATTTCTCTGATCAGAAAATAAACACAATTATCCAAGAGCAACACTGTGTTAGATTTGAGCAAACACACATCAACCAATGTCCTATTCAGCTGGAGGAGCACAGGGATTTACAGGGATTTGAGTTATTTTCCAGGATAAACTGTAAAGCAAATGAAGTAGATTATTAAATAAGTACAAATATTGTTTGTGTGAGTAAAAAGTCAAGAAAAGTTTGTTAAATACGTTTAGAAATGATGAAATAAATGAGCAAATAAGGAAACAGAACACTGCCGCCGCGTCCCCATGCAGTAATATGGTGTATCAGCGATCTCACAGGGGGACGAGATGGCCAGCTAAAGATTTTCTGTTAAAGCAGGGCAGTGATTCACTAAACTGATCTGAGTCTTCAGTGCAGACTGATGTGTGTCTTCTGTGATCAATCAATGAATACTCACAGAGCTCTTCTGCAGTTTCTCACAGCTGCTGTCAGTCTCCGTCTTCCCTCAGCTGATGTGTTCAATTTATTAAAGTCTAACTCATCCAGCGGCTCCTCTGACATCTCAATCATGTAGGAGATTGTTGAGCAGTGAGCAGGAGAGAGTTCCTCCTCTGAGTGTTTGTCTGATTTCACAAACTCCTGAATCTCTCTGGCCAGAGTCTGATCTTTCACCTCCAGCAGACAGAGGAACAGATTGATGGATCTTTCAGCTGAGAGACGTTTATCTCTCTTGATCTTGTCTTTAATGTGCTGTGTGATTCTCCTGATGCTCTCTGTGCTCTCCTCTGTGTGTGTCAGCAGATCCTGGAAGAGTCTCTGATTGGACTCCAGTGAGACGCCCAGCAGGAACCGCAGGAACAGATCCAGATGACCATTACTACTCCAGACAGCTTTAACTACTGCTGAACTGAGCAGATCATACAGAGACTTCTCAGAGCTGGACTGTAGATATTGATTATATGAATATTCACTGTCATAAATCACCCTCAGCGGTTCTCTGTTCTCTGTTAAATGGCAGTAAAGCACAAAGAAAGCAGCCAGAAACTCCTGAAAGCTGAGATGGATGAAGCTGTAGACTTTCCTCTGATGAATCACAGATTCCTCCTTAAAGATCTCAGTGCAGATCCCAGAATACACTGAGGCATCAGTGACGTCTATGCCGCTCTCAGTCAGGTCTTCCTCATGGAACATCACATTGCCCTTCATCAGCTGACTGAAAGCCACTTCAGCAAGTTTGAGGATCACTCCTCTGTTGGACTGCAGGAGTTTCTCTGGATCTCTCTCTTCATACTTCTGCTTCCTCATGTGGATCTGAATCAGCAGGAAGTGGATGTACATCTCAGTCAGAGTTTGAGGGATTTCTGCACTCACGTCTTCTTCCAGGAGCTTCTGAAGCACAGTGGAGGAGATCCAGCAGAAGACGGGTATGTGGCACATGATCTGGAGGCTTCTTGCTCTTCTGATGTGGGAGATGATTCTGCTGGCTTGATGCTCGTCGCTGATTCTCTTCCTGAAATATTCCTCCTTCTGAGGCTCAGTGAATCCCTGAATTTCTGTCAGACGCTTGATGTATCTGGAGGGGATCTGATGGGCTGCTGCTGGTCTGGAGGTGATCCAGATGAGAGCAGAGGGAAGCAGATCTCCTTTCAGGAGGCTCCACATCAACACAGCCACTGATGAAGATTCAGTCAAAGCACAAACTTTCTCCTCATCTGAAAAGTTGAGTGTGATTCTGCTTTCATCCAGACCATCAAAGATGAACACAACTCTACACTGCTCATAAATCTTGGGCTCCAGATCTTCAAGTTCAGGATGAAAGTCCAGCAGAAGTCTGTGAAGACTGTACTGATGATCTCTGATCAAGTTCAGCTCTCGAAATGGAAGCACAAACATGAAATCTACATCCTGATGGTCTTTTTCCTCGGCCCAGTCCAGAATGAACTTCTGCGCAGAGACGGTTTTCCCGATTCCAGCAATGCCTTTAGTGAGAACAGTCTTGATCTGGGCTTTCTCCTTCTTGATCTTCTCCTCATGTCCTGCTCCAGCTGAGGCTTTAAAGATGTCATTGCAGTAGACTGGAGTGTGTTGTGAGGGTTTTGTTCTGGCTCTTTTCTCCATCTGTAAAACCTCATGTTCTTCATTCACTCCTTCACTCTCTCCTTCTATGATGTAGAGCTGTGTGTAGATCCTGTTCAGGAGGGTTTGAGTCTCTCCATGGTTGATTCCCTCAAATAATCTCTCATACTTGTTCTTCATGCTGGTTTTGTGCTGCTCTTTGACTCTCTGGAGTTCATCATGTTCTGGTTGGAGTGAATCCTGCTGCAGGTGTCCAGTCTGATCATCTCTATCCACACTGCAGGATCAACAACAACACAAAAAAATCAATGAAAGCGAGTGTAAAGATCCTCTAGTAAAGCCATGTGTATTTTCTCTGAACCAGCTGAGACACAATACACAGATTTAATCCTGAACCAAACTACAGTAATACAGAAACGGTCCCAGATCAGCAAGAACCAGCTTCATTTTAGAACTAGGTTTCCAAATAAATGAAAAATACTAAATATTGACTGTACTATAGACTGATGTAATGAGCCCATTTCTAAACTTAGGCATTTTCAACTAAACCACACATTAAACAATTCACTTTAATTAATCTAATCAGTGTTGCATTTAAATTAAATATATTTATTTATTTATTTAATTAAACATATCGTATGTGAGGGTTACATTCATGGAGCTCACCTCAGTCACTGTCATTAGTTGTCATAACTTTATTATTATTATTTTAAAATCAATTTAAGGTAATATATGCACATTTCAGAGGCTGTGCACTCTAAGGCAGGAGTGCAATTCCTGGCATAACACCGCTTCATCTATTATTTCTCTCTATATTGTAAGCCTGTAATGCATAATTCTAGCCCACATTTTGTAATAGATTGATTAATTCAATAGACAGATTTTTACAAAATTTGACAACTGAAATGAGGCCATGTATGAGAAAGTCTGACCGCTCTGATTTATATTTGGTGACAATGTCTGTGGGTGTCAAAATTAAAGTGCACATTTTTGCTTACAATATACATGTCGATTTTTTTCCAAGTTTAGTTTCATCAATTGTAAACAAATCATTTTTAAATTGTCAGTTGTATTTAAAGAAAAGTTGTGCTGAACAAAGTGTGTGTATACAATTATGTTTGGCTTTTGACACTAAGAAATAGCTATTAAGTTTTTTTTTTTTTGGGTGGGGCCAGTGAACATTTTGTCAGGGCAAGTAAAAATCTGAACCACTGGCCCAATCGGGCCACTAGAAAAAAATCCTTAGTCTTGAACCCTGTGTGGTGTGTTTGTCTCACAGAACTTGTTCATTTATCTTGTCTAAAATCTTTCTTTTTATCACAAACCCTTTGCTGACTATTGTAAAAGCCTGTAAACTCACTCTACTAACTAACAGTTTGAGTATTAATACTTTCGTCTTTTATTACTACTTCAGTACTTCACTAAAATGTCTTGACTGGACTGTGAGAATAAAGTGTAATAATGTCTGATCTTCTAGAAACACAGGATCATATAAATGCTGCAGTGTAATCATGTGTGTGTAGAGATGATCTACCTGATAGCAGGTTGAGTGATTTTACTCCTAAATGTTATTGGTCGATTCATAGACCAGTCACTCTTCATAGACACACAGCTGGGCTCTGCTTCTGCTCTCTTCTGATGAACTGAGCTAAAACAGAGAACATTAAAGTTGAGCGCTGCACACACTGCACAAACCTGATATTAATCATTCTTCATTTACAAAAACACTTAAATTAATTTCCTTTATATTTGAACAGAAACTGTCTAAATGTGGAAATATCAGCAAACACAGATCAAGGCTCATTTCTAGTAGAGAAAGCACAACAGAAATGCAGCACTATTAGAGCAGATTAAAGCTGAAACTAATCATCAAATCACTAAATGAAGTCCACAGTGTAAGTGTGGGAGGAGCTTAATCATGCAGGCGTGTCAATCATCATCGCATGACTATATAAGCAGCAGTATAAACTGCACTGTGTCAGCTGACTGTTATTCCCACCTCCAGCAGCTCCCCTTTTCCTCCTCCTCATCACTCAGTCTTCAGAAGGTCACTCATCGGGGGTTTGTCTGCAGAGCTCCAGTCCAGACTTTGAGGACAGCAAGACAAGTTCATTTACCATCATCTATCATGACTGAATGAGCAGGAGAACTCGAGAAATATCAATTCGAGAAACCAAATGTGTTGATCAGCAGCATCTATGAGGCCAACACAACATGATGATGACTGCGCTTCAGTGAAAACAGACTCAGATCAGAGGAATGGCTGATCAGTACAGCACAGAAACAGCAGGGGAAAGTGTGCAGGAAAAGCCCTTAATGGCAGGAGATCGGGAACACTTTAGTTTAGCTCACAATTCATACTATTAACTACCGGCTTATTATCTGTGTAATGTGAACATATGAACTGCTCATTAGTAGTCATACAGTATGATCTTATTGTGGATCCCTAAACCTAAACCCACCTTCTACCTCACTAACTATTAATAAAGCGCTGATTGGTTTGTTAACACCATCAATTGTGGCCTGAAGTGTAAAGCGGAGATCTTCAAGCACTATCCTGCAGAGCTCAGATACAACATCTAACATCTGAAACCCAACAGATCCACAACACTAATTACCTGATTCATTTATTATGAAAATACTCATCAGTTGCAGATATTAAAGAGATGATCTACCTGACAGCAGGTCGTGTGTTTTCACTCTTAAAATTTACTGGTGGATCCATAGACCCATCCATGGATCCATCCGTCTTTCGGATGAGACGTTAAACCGAGGTCCTGAGTCTCTGTGGTCATTAAAAATCCCATGGCACTTCTCGTGAAAGAGCAGGGGTGTAACCCCGGTGTCCTGGCCAAAGTCCCTCTATCAGCCCTTACGATCATGGCCTCCCAATCATCCCCTTCCACCGAATTGGCTCTATCACTGTCTCTCCTCTCCACTAATAGCTGGTGTGTGGTGAGCGCACTGGCGCTGTTGTCCTGTGGCAGCCGTCACATCATCCAAGTGAATGCTGCACACTGGTGGTGGTGTGGAGAGACCCCCCTCATGATTGTGAAGCGCTTTGGGTGTATGGCCATACACAATAAATGCGCTATATAAATACACAAATTACATTATAGACGCGTCACTCTTCATAGACACACAGCTGGGCTCTACTTCGGCTCTCTTCTGATGAACTGAACTAAAACAGAGAAGATTAAAATTCAGCGCTGCACACACTGGTGTCAACACAGCAGATTTAATCAACATTTCATCATTAAAACACTGTTTAAACAGCACTTCATGATACTTTTCATGATGATTGTACACAATCTTGCTGGCTGTGTGTGTTAAATATTCTGACAGATTAAAAACACAACTAACAGACAGTAAATATAATATCCCCAGACAGCACACACATGCTGGGCCGATGTCGGCCGAAGATCAACACGTCGGCCCCTTTAATTCTAACATCTATATATGGTCAGCCAAACATACGCATGTTCACTCGTTCGTGTGTTCTATTGTTCCAGTTCATCAAACGTCCGCTCTGCATCAGTTAACGACCAGAGGCCGACGAAGCACTTCATAAGCACTTTATCTCTCATGCCCTTGAAAGAATCCGGCAACATAATTGGTTTACACGTAAGTTTTCGCGTGCATAATAAATGAAACAAACGCGACATACATCATGTCTATTGCGTCAGTCGGTCCAGCTTTAAATTGCCTGCATTAATGCATTAAAACTGACCAAAATATCTACAACATATAATTTCAATTCATTATAATATAAAAAAAGTTTTGTTTTCATTGTTATGTTTTTTAATAATGAAAACATTTTTTCCTGCTGTAAACTGGTTTGCTTTTTTATTGTGGCTTTTTCTAAAGCATTTTTCCCAGTGTAAGTTAAAATCAAAGTCTGTTCTGCATTTCGGCTGTTAAATTAAAATAAATACCTTTTTACAGAGTGACATCTTTATTTTATATACAAGCATTTATATTTAGTGCTTATTTGTTTTTGACAGTGAATCTGAGGCACAAATAAAGTGTGACTTTGCTTTGTAACAGTTTAAAACAATTTATAAGCTCATCGTAAAAATAATAGCGTATATAAAACCGCTAAATGCATTTTAAATTCAAGATTTAATTTAAAAGGTTATTATTTAAATTGTTTATGGAGTGATCATGTTTATTTATGTAAATACTGCATGACTTCGCTGTGCGTGCGAGCGCGTCTCATTCCAACACTGTTGCTATGGGAAACGACATGACACGACGACACCACCTGAAAGAAACAACAACTTCTCTCACGCTGCTGTTTTGACTGTTTTTAGGCAAGTTTAGTCCCTAAAACAAGGCAAATACTACATAAAACTGTTCCTCTCACTTTTATTATTGGTAATTGATGCATATTCTGTTAAATATTTATGTTATATAAAATTGGTTAGTAGAGATGCTCCTATCAGCATTTTTGCGGCCGATCACCGATCGCCAAAATCAGGATCTGCAGATTGCCGATCACAGAATGGCAGGGGAATGGCCATTCAATTAGGGCAGTTACGGTCACCATGACAACCGCGTCACCGTAATAGATGGCGGCGAGGGAAAAAAGCCGCCTATAATCAACTCTTATAAACGCAAACGCCCAGCTAGTCAGTCAGATGTCGCAGAGGCATTTCCAGTAATGGCCTGGTGCAAAAAAGAAAGTGATGAATAGAAGACATTGATGAGAAATGGAGAAACATATTTAGTAGGTTAAGAACGTGCCGCTCCGCAGTGTAGAGAAACCTGCTTTCCGAGAAATGTGGGATTTCGGAACAGAAGCAAGAAACAGTATCTGTGCATTTGCGCTACAAGCACACCATCTGAACGTGTATTGCTGGAAACATTAGCTGCTTTTCCACTATCGTGCCAAACCGTTCTAAAAACACTTCGGTATGGTTACGGTTGTTTCTCTACTTGAGCCTGGAACGGCGCGGCACGATTACAAACCGTTCTCGGCACGGAATTCTCGGCACGGTTAGACAACCGTGCTGAACTGTGCTGACAGATTCTGTGTGTTGACGTCGCGACTCGGTTGCTAAGCTACCACAGCTGGCTCAGCAGAATGTCATCAGACATCCTCAATAAACTACAGTGCATTTAATATAAAATAATGATCCAGGTCTAAACGATACAGTTTGAAAAGGGTTTTAAAACCATAGAGCATCCCTGGCAGAGAAGTGAATAACTCATCACATTCTAACGAAGATATTTTATTCATTAAAGTTATTATTTTATTGACTTGGGCCCTTACGA